AAAAAGCAAAAAGCATTAAATGGGAAAGAAACATTCTCTTTCACAAATGGTGCTGGAAAAATTTGATCTCCATCTGCAGAAGAATGAAATAGATCCCACACCTCACCCCATGCACAAAAAAACGAACTCAAGATGGAGATCATCAAAAAAGAACTCACGATGGATTAGGATCATCAATGAGAAAATCTGGACAAATTTAAGGGCCCTTTTGCAGGGCATACACAGACTACCAAATATAATAAAGGAAACACACACAGTGGAAGGCAAAATAGATGGCTGGGACCTATTAACAATAATATACTTATGCACAAAATCTCTAGCAATAGCACAATAAGGGATTAGTTACTAAAATCTACAAAATTCTGTCACACCTGAATAAGTAGAAAAGAAGTAATCTTATTAAAAGATAGGGTAAAAACATGAATATACAATTCACAAAAGACAACACTTGAATGGCTAGTCATCAAAGAGATGCAAATCAAAACAATGATGAGGTATCACCTTATACCCACAGGATAGGCAATGGAAAATAAAACCAGAACAACAAACGATGGAGAAGGTGTGGAGAGATTGGAACTTTACCATACTGCTTTTGGGCTTACAAAGTATGTACAACCACATGGCACTACCTAAAACAATCAGGAATACAAATACCAAAGTCTAGTATACTTTTGCTGGACATATACCCCAAAGAAATAAGAGTCAGAACACAAACAGACGTATGATCTCCCATGTTCATTGCAGCACAATTCACAATAGCAAGAAGCTGGAAATAGCCTAACTGCCAATCAGGAGAATGGATAAATTAACTCTGGTACATACACACAGTATAATACTATGCATCTCTAAATAAACAGCGTTGAAACCATGAAACACTTCATGACATGGAAGGACCTGGGAACCATTATGCTGAGTGAAATTAGTCAATCACAAAAGGGAAAACATTGCATGAATCCACTACTTTAAAGGTAAACACCAAGAAAAAGGCAGGCTTCTGCTCTCAGGTCATGTAATCTAATCTGGTCTCCCATGCAACAAGGTATTGAGCCTGCCTAGAGCCCATGAACCATATTTTTTTTTTCTATTTTATTTTAACATTTTATTAGGGGCTCATACAACTCTTATCACAATCCATACACACATCAATTGTGTAAAGTGCATTTGTACATCATTCTCAAAACATTTTCTCTCCACTTAAACCCCCGACATTAGGTCCTCATTTTTCTCCTCCCTCCCAGCTCCCCCCTCCCTCATGTGAACTGTATCTTATCACCCCCTTTATAAGTACATCTTAAAACCACTTTGACAGAGGAGACCTCACCTCAGCTGGAATCAGCTTATCAAGAAGGGAGAGGGAGAAGACCTTTCACTTACTTTCAGGCAACACTAGGCTAAGGTTACCTCAAATCACCTTGCTGGAAATTCAAGTCAAGATGTGAGGAGGGAGGCATGTATGTCTCCCAGAAGGCAATTATATTTCTGTTGGTGGGTAAGCTGGGAGGAGCAACCTATATTTAACAACTTATATAGAACCCAAGGAAGTAATACACCTGCTACTACATTCCTAATTGGACACTTTTGACCTAGTATCTATGTACCCCTTGGTGACCCAGTCATTTGTTATAGACTTCTGAGACTTCCCAAAAAACTCCAAACTCAAGGCCATTGAGTCAATGCTGAGTCATGGTAACCCTTAATGGGTTTCGGAGACAGTAACTGTTTATGGGAATTGAAAGCCCCATCTTTCTCCTGTGGAGCTGCTGTTGCTTTCGAACTGCCAGCCACGTGGATTGCAGACCAACTGGTAAACACTACACCATTAGGGCTTCTACTCTGTCTTTTTGAGGTACAAACCGTCTTTCAGAAGGCCATGCTACACAGATTCGATGTGGAAACCCCACTAAGTGGACTGGACTTTACCTCAAACTTACTTGTAGCAGATTTAAGGAACTGGTATACACCCTTGTACTCAATGTTGAAATACCCTAATGTGAGAAGCAGATGACTGCAATCACAAGGTTAGGGAACTAGCAGTCGTTGGACTGTGGTTTAGATCTCTTGCTTTGTGGGTGCCCAATGAATGGTGGCCCTGTAGTACCATATATTTACTATTTTAATGTCCTTCTTGCTTTCTTATGACATATTATTAATCTGGTAGGCATGGTTCTGTCTTTGTGAATTGTGGTAGTTGATTATCTGGTGTCAATTTCAGACATGAGATGATTAAGAGTAAGGGGTAGAGTCTAGTCTGTCAATCAGGTGATAGCCAATGAGGCCTCTGTGTGGGCATGACCTCCTGAGAATTCTGGGAAATGTATTTTTCTCCTTGGAGGCAGGAGACACCTCTCGCTCTCTGCTCACTCCCTTGGAGACACTCTACAGACAAGACACAAAGCTGACTTGCTGTGAGACATCCCTGAGAAGCCACATGGACCTACCTGATGCAGCCCTGGTGCTGGAGAAGCCACATGGAGACCCTGCCAGCACTGAGATGCTTACAACACCGTGGATCTTTCTACCCACTGGCCTGTGATCACCCTGTACTCGGTGTTATTGCATGTATTTCATAAGTCTAAAGAGGACTTTAAAGATTGGTATCGAACATATGGGGTAATATTGGACTTAGGGACTTGATCTGGACTGGGCTGGGATGTTTCCTCAATATTCCAACTGCTCTTGCATATAAACCTCTTTCTCATAAACATATGAGATTTGTTTCTCTAGTCTACCTGGACTTAACACAGAATAAATGTTATTGAAAGTTCTGCCCAATACAATTTTATCAGTACAAGTCAACAATTTATGTATTGCAGTCTATAATCTTAAAGTCAAACATTAGTTTATTTAGCTTAACTAATATAAATATCTGTCTTGAACATTGAGATAGTTTATTGTGCCAGCCCGGCCGATAAACTCAAGTGGGATTAACTGAAGGGCAGAGCGATATATGGCTTGGTGAGTCTCGCCTTTCTTGTCTCTCGCTCTTTGATCATTGGACCAGTGTGTAGCTAGCTGCCTTGCTTGCCCTGTGCCTCAATTTAAAGGCTACACTACCTGTGGGACGCCTAGCCTGTGGACTGTGTCGCTGTAAGTTGAGGTCCCTTTAAGACATCTCCAGAGCTGGGGACTGGCAGTTGGTGACCTGGCTGGCAGTTGGTGACCAGCCTTCTGATTGGCTGCTGTGCTGACATAGCCAGGCTCTATAAATAGAGGAAGATCTAGTCTCTCACAACTCTCTCTCATGGGAGTGAGTTGCAGTGAGCCATTTGTAGTGCTTTATAATTTAACTGTTTATTTCTTGTATTATATATTTATCTGTATATGATTCAACAGTTCATTTCTTGTTATATATCTAATTATCTTTATAAATAAATATATTAAATTATCAGCAATTTGGTTTTATCTCTAGAGAACCCTGTCTAACACAAGCATTATGCTCTTTTAAGAACTACCTAAATGGGAACAAAGTGATAAAAGCAATTTGAAAGATTAGATAAGGGACCTCATGGTGGAGGATCAACTCAGAAAAGGAGGGTGATTAGAGTTGCATTACTGGGAGAAGGAAATCAATATCACTAGATTTACATGCAGAAATAGTTGGGCTTATGAGAAAAATCAGGCTGCCTGCTCCTCTAAAGACTTACAGCCTGAGAACCCCCCTGGAGCTCTACTCTATCTTGTAGGGTGACGATGAGCTAGAATCAACTGGGTGGCAGTGGTTACTGGAAATAAAAACAACAAAAAAAACCAAAAACCCAAACATAGAACAACAAAACCCACCAAGCAGAGTCAAAAAAACCCAATAAAACCTGGGGTTGCAAAGGGGTTTCTCAAAATTGGGTTTTAGGGTCAACCCAACTTTAAAAAGGGAAAACGGCATGAAAAGCCATTTTTCAGGAAAATCATAGAAATAAGTGGCTTTCCAACACAAAAGGATGTTCAACCTCTCATTGTAGCAGTTTACCTCCCTGAGATCCAATTTCTCACCCACCACGTTGAGAACAATAAAGATTTATTCTTGTAAGCAGGACCGGAGTATGCTCAATCCGTGCCCTGAGATGCCCCTGCACAGCAGAAGGGCTGCTGGGACCTGCATCACCAGGGCACTGAAGGTGGGCAGGGCCATGGTGGGTGCACAGTGTTCAACGGTTTTTCATTAGCAGTGGGTCCAAGTGCAGAGCTCTGCTGAAAGTTGATTCAGCATCATAGCGACACACACGCCTCCACTGACGGGGGAGCGGATGCCGCACACCTGAACCGAACCGGGTCTCCACGCGGAAGGCGAGGATTCTGCCAAGGAACTGGGATAAATCTAACCAGTTTGATTTTTTTGTCGTACACGTTTGATTTAACTGCTGTAAATTATTTCGAAACGCAATCTGGATAGATCATCTAAGTACTACTACTACTACTACTACTACTAATACTACTAATAATAAAACAGGGGCAAGAAACCTGTAAAATGATTGGCAGGTTGGAACAAATGACCAAAGCAGCAGCAAAGCTTTTTTCCCTTAAAGGCGCACTGTCTTCAAAACGCTTTAAAGTGGACCGTGGGATTGTGAGTAAGAGGTATTCGGTAGGATTTGGGGTCAATAGATTTTCTGTTAGGTCAGGCCTGTTTCTTTCACTTGGGCGGTCCGCCCAGAGGGGTTCCACACCGAGACTAAGCGAAGAGTTCCGCCGCCTCAGGAAGGCCGGAACCCGCCCCGCCCCAACTGTCCCTGAGGTCGCGGCCCGGACGAGGGCGGGGCTGGGTTCTTGGCCGCGGCTCCCGGGTCGCCAACTCTCCCCACGGCTCTCGAGAGGCGCTCGGCCTGGGGGAGGGCGGGCCGCCGTGGGATGAAGTCCACGGCCAAAGGGAGGCGGTTGGTACCAAGGGAGGCAAGGCTGGAGCGGGGGCCGTCAGTCGGCCAGGCCCGAATCCGAGGGGTCCCAACCCCGCACCCTCACCCGCCCGCAGCCCGGGGTCGCGCCCTCCGCACGTTCCAGACACTTACTGAAAGACATTGTCCTCGTTATCCATGACGGAAGGACTGGGACCAGCTAGCGGTCACCCCACCAGCAACAGAACGACGCCCCGCCGCCGATTCAAACCTGCTGCGCAGCCGCAGTTGGCGCGCCGAGCGTTTGCGGCGTGCCCGGCCATTGGCTCGGCTCTAAGGGCGCTGACCGATTGGCCGAACCGTTGCCGAGCGACCAGGTCCCGCCCCCTGGCGTGTCGCTGCAAGTCCCCTTGTCCCCGGTGGTGCGTCCAGCGAAGAGCGCCTGCGGAGGAGCTGTTTTTGGTTTATTTTAGGCGTTTAACGGTCGTCTGTTTTACATAACTAACTCCAAATACCCGAGTCGGAAATGTGCCGCTTCGACCCCTTTCTTAAAGATATCATGAGAATCATTGATTCTGGAGATGAAAGCACTCCGATTTGTGGGACAGAAGAGATCATGTAAACCGCAGAGCTCGGGAAACTGCGCTCCTGTGGTTTAGGAGACACATGCAACCCATTTCCGGCCGTTTTCTATTAAGCTTCTCCAAGTGCTGAAACCTCTAAAATCTTAGTCTCAGGTCCTGAAGAGTTGTGGCAAAGAGTTGGGATGGGACTTTAGGCCCGAGCGTGAGTAACACCTGTGATTTAAAAAACCCATTGATAAATCTGGATTTTGTTTTGGCTTAGTGACTCCACACCGTGAGGGCCTGTTCTAACGATGACAGTTGAGCAGCGGTGAAGGTATGTGGAGGCAATGGTTTGTACTTTTGTGGTTCTTTTATTTATTTATTTTTTTGTTTTTCCAACTCCTCTGAAAAGCTGTGTGGCTGTGTAGTATAAAGTTTGGAGGGAGGGGGGCCAGCCCCCACCGCCACTACCCACGGGTTCAATAAGCACAATTGTACGGTTGAGATGTATATATATATATTATATTAAACTCATCGAGAGCAAGAGAGATAGAAGAGATATTACAATGATGCAGTCAGACACATTACATGGTAGCATTGCTCACCTCAGTCCAGTTTGGTGGTCCACGTAAGGGAGGGGGAAGGGAAGGAGGAAGGGAAAGGGAACAAGGGAGAGAGGACAGGAGAGGAGAGGGGGAAGAGAGGAGGGCGGGATCAGCTAAAGAGAGAGAGAGAGAGAGGTGCGAGGAGGAGAGAGAGATCTCTATTGCTAACCCAGGCCTATATACCTTTGGGGGCGTGCAAGCCCACTTATTACAGGTAAAGACATGCGTCACAGGAAGGGGTTGTACTATAGGTTATTCAGTAATGAGAGGGGGTGGTCTAGGGACATACACGCAATAGGAAGAGGAGGGGTTGGGGTATACATGTGACAAGATGGGCGGATCCTAGAATTAGGATGGCAGCTTTACTTTTGACCTGGTCTCTGGGTCTCCATAGGAACCATTATCAGTAGGGTGTAAACCCCACCTACAGGAATCAAATAGATGACTGCAGGCCTGTCCATTGTTTAACAGTGGGGAGTGGGGCCCATCCCTGTGGTGGCTAGAGACAGCAATCTGACCTCCTCCCACATGGGTGCCCAACATTCCTGTGGTAAAATAGAACAGAAAAGTCTAGGTAGATGATAGCATGCAGGCAGGAAAAATTTTTAACATTTTTGTATGCCTTGGAGCCCTGGTAGTGTAGTGATTGTGAGCTGGGCTGTGATACACAAGGTTGTCAGTTCGAAACCACCAGCATCTCTGAGGGAGAAAGACTGGGCTTTCTACCCCTGTAAATAGTTACAGTCTGGGAGACACACTCTTAACTATAAATCATCATTGACGATGGCAGTGAGATTTTTAAAAAAATAATCATTTTATCAGGGGCTCATATAACTCTTTTCACAATCCATACATACATCCCTTGTGTCTAGCACATTTGTACATTTGTTGCCATCATCCTCAAAACATTTGTTTTCTGCTTGAGCCCTTGGTATCAGCTCCTCATTTCCCCACCCCCCTCTCCCCACTCCTCCCTCCTTCATGGACCCTTGATAATTTATTAATTATTATTTTGTAATGTATTACACTGTCCAACATCTCCCTCACCTACTTTTCTGTTGTCCGTCCCCCATGGAGGAGGTTATATGTAGATCCTTGTAATCGGTTCCCCCTTTCCACCCCACCATCCCTCCACCCCTCCTGGTACCACCACTCTCAGCACTGGTCCTGAAGGGATCATCCACCCTGGATTCCCTGTGTTTCCAGTTCCTATCTGTACCAGTGTACATCCTCTGGTCTAGTCAGACTTGTAAGGTAGAATGGGACCATGAGGAAGCATTTAGGAACTAGAGGAAAATTGTATGTTTCATCATTGCTACAGGCAGTGAGATTTCTGAGGAGCTCTAAAGACCAAGTTCTCTAGAATCATACAATAAAAAATAAAGATTTGTAAAGGAGTCCAGAGGTCTAAGAAGGATGGTGTAATATGTTGATGCTCCTTATCTATAAGTGGGTTGGAAAAGAGTTACTTCGCCTTCTGTTTTGTCTTTCTCCCCTTTGGTCTCAATAACTTCCCATTCTACTTCTAAGGATATTTTCAAGGGCCCCTTGACAATGCATGTGAAGAATAAAGAGCTCTTCAGATGATGACTTCCTTCTTAAGGACAGATTGTGTATTTAAGTATTTGGCTCCCTTAGGCCTCTTAAATTAAATACTTTTTTTATAAAGCAACTTCTGGAAGTCTTGATGCTCTCAAAGTCCCGATGTTTCACATTTTTTTCAGGTTGTCCATCAGTTTTAGTCTGCCCAAGTATCCAATACTGCCAAGAATATGCCTGCTCTGAGGGCTTTAGACCAGTAGTAGGTTTAAGTGACCGTCACAGGAATTAAGATTTCTTCATCTTACCAACTCCAGCTTTGTGTCTGGTAGTGACTCAATTAGTAATTGATTTGGAAATCTTGATAGAAGACCCATCATGTAAAATCTATTAGTCTCAGAAGGCTGGCAATTTATTTAAATCAATATAAGCAGAAAATGCCAAAGGACCAGTATCTTATAAATTTCAACATATTTGCTAATTGTGACCTGTGTCTTTGACAACGTACCTTCTAATCTCCCTTCTGATCTTTCCCCTGCAAGCCTGTAGTTCAACTGAAACAATCGTCATGGATGATCTGAAAACCTGTTAAAGAATAGCCTTTTATTCATTCATCTATCTCTCCTTTTCGTTTTTTGTTATAACTGTTGCCTTAATTTCATCTTTTTTTCTCAAAACCCACACCAGAATGTCAGAGAAGAAAGCTGGTGTAGTAGTTACGTAATCTTTCAACTTGCGAAGGGGTGGAATCTAGCATATGTCAATCAGGTCACACCCAGTAAGGCCTCTGTGTGGTCATGACCTTCTCCTGAGGATTCTGGCAACTCCCTGGTGGTGGGACACACAGACTGTGAGACATTCCTGTTGACAAGGCCCATGGAGCTATACTGATGGAGCCAGAGCCCTGGAGCTGGAATTGGCCATGTGGAGACCCACACCAGTGCTGAGATGCTTCCACCCCCACTGGATGCACAGACTTTCCACCCACTGACCTTTGGTCTTCCTGCATTCAGCATCATCGCATGTGTTGCATGAGTCAGAAGAGGAATGTATAGACTGGTATCGGGTAAATGGGCTAACATTGGACTTACGGACTTGATCTGGACTGAGCTGGGATATTTTCTCATTATACAGTTGCTCTTTTTTATAAAGCTCTTTCTCACACATATATGAGTGTACATGAATTTGTTTCTCTAGTCTACCTATACTAACACATTCTGGTACCAGGAGTGGGGTACTAGAGAAACAAATCATGAAGATGGAGAGTGGGTGCTTGTTTGACCCCTGCTTCATGGTGGTTTTCTTCTTTGGCTAGCCAGAGGTCAGATATGGCCATGCAGTTTAACTGGTTGTTTTTTGGAGAGTATGAGAAGTTACAGTTTTTATTAGTTTGTTTGATTATTGTTTTGTGTTATCCCTGTGTGAAATGGTGAAAAGGAATGTGATTCATGTATATTTTGAGCTTAGGGGATGAAATCGCCCCTTTAATATCAGAACTGCTTAGTGAAAAATGGCAGACAGAAGGTCAAAATGGCTGATAGAAGGCCTGACCCTGGCTTGAGGCAATGCAGCCAGAGGCCTAAGGCCATATTTTGTATCAGTGGAATAATTTAGAGAAGGATTGAGATAAGATAGATAAGGATTGAACTTGACTGTTAAGAATTGAGTTTAGGATTGGGCTGTACTGGTATAGACTGCTTTCTTCTGCCTATTGTTATTGATATAATGATTGATAGAAATGATTATTGGGAAGTAAAAATAGAGAGTCTACTTGCCTTCAGCCTTTAAATTGGAATCTACATAGGTTAGGACACACCTACAAATAAGGCTGGAAAGGATAAGCCACACCCAGTGTTTAAGTGCTGCGGACATTTGAAAGTGAAGAGACTTGCCTAGAGGACTGTTGACAGCTTGAAGTAAAAATAAACTCTTGGCCTTTTTGAATTTTGAACTAGTCGTTTGTGCTTGAGGCTGGAAAAATTTGGAACATTGGAAGGAAAGCTCCGCTCTAGGACTGGACTGTTAAAGGGAGCCTGTGGGAAGGCTGACATGCTTGCTAGGTGACCAACTGGACCCACTTGATGAGTGGAAGGGAGAGAAATGCAGCAATAAAGAGACAGGGTGCATCTAGCCACTGACACCTGTGGACCTGGTTCACCAGGAATAGAGGAGAAAACTAGAACAGCTTGACTGGTCTGAAGTTCATGACCTAGCACAAGGTAGGCTAGAGTTGTTGAGAATTTGTGATGGGGCCTATGGTCTAAAGGCCAGGCAGCCAATGGGCACCCTGTTGAGGCTAAGGGAGGCAGCCCACATTGAGTTGGCCAGAACTCGACCAGATGAAGAGAAGCTATTTCAGCCTGTGAACTGGTGCATGTTGCTGCTGACTTTATGAATGGCCTGTCCTGATTTGACTTTGCTAATGGATGAGGACTTCACAAGGTTCCAACTGGAATGAAGGTTCTTCACATCAAAGAATATGATTGTCTCCTCAGAGCACTGGTTTGATGTAAGTGGGCAGTATAGAAATTCAATACCCA